TGGTAATGTTTCTTTTCCTATATCATTTGTAAAAAGTAATTACTCCAAAAGTCTGTGTGAAAAAAATAGTACAAATTTAGGCTTAAAAAAGGTGATGGCCTGTTTTAGCATTAGGTTCTTTATGTGTGGTAGAATTTTGGTTTTCAGGCTCAATTTGAATGGAGCTTTTTTCTTTTCCTTTTCTTTCTGTGCGCTTGTGCTAGATCTTTGTCCTGTTGGCTTCTCAAAAGCTTCATGTAAGTCTTATCTCAGGCAGTGATCTCAAGTAGGTTTTTTCTCAGCCTCCTTTCATGGGGCTCAGCCCTTCTATTTCAACCCTTGGTGAGTGACTTGGGTTTAGGTTCCCTTTATTAATTTTATCATTACCCATAGGAGTGGTCAGATTAGAGGAATATATTAAGGAGATAAATTTGGCAGCAATGTGTAGAATGAACCAAGATGGAGAGAGAGAAGATGTAGATAAGAGTTCATAGAGGGCCATGTCAGTAAAATAATAGTGGAAGGATGTGAGAATATAAATAAAGTAGAATTTACTTGGCTTCTTACAAATTATAGGGTGCAGGAGAAGGAGTCAAACATAATCATTGAGCTTTTGAGCTGGAGCGACTAGTAATTAGTGATGTCAGCAGTGAAAACTGAATAAATTTATTTTATAAGGAAAGTACTTAATACTTGTTGAACTGCAGCGAGGTCTTTTAAAATATTCAAGTTTTTTAAACTTGTGTGATTGTGAAATTTACAGATCTAAATTTATATAAAAGCTTTTAGATCAATAAAGGGGAGTTCTTAAGGTCTTTCTGCTTATTATAATAGCTGACATTTATTGTGTCCTAACTGTGTGCTAAATACTGTTCTGCATCTTTGCATGCATTTGTTTAATTCTCACAACAACCCTAAGAGGGTGGGATTATCATTCCCATTTATAGTTGAGGAGACTGAAAGCACGGTCTGTTTTGCACAGTTTTATGCAAAACAAATAATCAGAGATTTAAATTTTCTATACTTTTTGAAGTAATTTATAATTGCTTTCATTTTTTCATGCATGTATTAATATTTATAGTTAAATACATCTTGTAAGCTTTATTTCTCCTTTTTATTTAGATGAATAATACTGCAGCTAGCCCGATGTCTACTGCCACTTCAAGTAGTGGAAGAAGTACAGGGAAGTCTGTAAGCTTTGCAACAGAATTGCAGAGTATGATGTAAGTATGTCTCAGCATACTATTACTATTTTAAATTTATTCATGTTGAAGAAAGGCAATAGAAATAACAAAATTTGTAAAACTTCAAAATAATTTATATTTAATCAGGTACAAACGAAATAGTCTCCGATAACGTTTTAAATAGCCATATGCAGAAGAGGCAAAATTGGTTAAGAATGCTACAATGGTACTGTATTTGACAAAGGAATATTGGTTCATCTTCATAAAAGGTAGAATGAATAATCATGTAAATACATTTGCTCTAATTATTATTTGCTCAAATCTGTGTTATGGATTATTACTATTTTTGTTTTAGATTTAGATGATTTTGAAACTGGTTATATTCTTAGGTAGTTGAAATGTTTTCATGGAGAAGTTCTCTCAAATGTCTTAATTTTATGAACTTAATTTAAATTAGATTTTAGTTTGATAATATTTGGAATCACTATATTTCAGAACACTGGGAAGAAACTTAGAGGATTTAAAAAACACATCATTCAATATTGGAGAAATTGCAGGTCATTAAAATTTCTTTCTTAAGGCTGTATTCAGCTTGATGTCATTGAGTGAGACTACATATCTTGATTTGATAGGAAGTAGCATATTTATTAGAAATGTCTATTGACACATAATAATTTTTCTTTATTGTGGAGACAATTGTCTACAAGGGGGTCAACACATTTTAGCATTTCTTTTCCTCTGGATACGTTATTCATGACTTATCAGGCAGTTTTTAAGACTATTTTTGTTAAAGGTTTAAGTGTCTTTCTGTTGTGGGTTTATATTGATAGCCTTCATGGTAGATTAACACCACTATGTGATGATTATTCAAAGATAAAATGACTTCGAGCATATATCTGTAGTTGCTTGGTAAACATACCTTAAAACCTTGAAAACATTTAGGTCAAAAGTTCTCAAACTTTTTGATCATAGAATCCCTTTACAGTCTTCATTATTGAAGACCCTAAAGAAGATTTGTTTATGTGAGTTGTATCTATTAATATTTATTGCTTGGAATTTAAAACTGAGAAATAGAAAAATTATGCATTAATTTAAAAAGTAATAGACCTATTATATGTTAATATATTTCTTATAAAAAATTGTATTCTAAAGTCCAAAATTGATGACATCTTTTGTTAGATAAGAGGAATAAATTAAACCTAATTAGGAACTCTATGAAGTGAGCCTGTGTTTTAAATTATGGAAAATTTTAAGGGTTTAGACTTGTATACATTTTTGTGGATTAGTTTTAAGTTTTTTCGTTATAGTTTTAGTAGCTTTAGGAATCTTTTATGTTGTGTTATGTCAATTATGTTTTAAATATTAAGCATGTTTTAAATGGTTTATAGTAAGGTGAGGAAATTCATTTTTCTGTAGAGCTGGTTCATTGATTTCCTTTGTATTTTTAAAAAAATTTTAACTTGGAGATTTTCAAACTCATGAAATTATAGAGAATAGTATAATGAACCCCATATATTAATCACCTGGCTTTAGCAATAGTTGTGTTTTACCAGTCTTATTTAACTTTTCTCCCTACTCTCTACTTTTTAAAAAATAAAGTATTTTAAAGCAAATACCAGGTATATGATTTCAAAATTCATCATATTTATCGAAACAATATATTTGTTAGTTAGTTAAAAATAGATGATATATGGCAGAGGTCAGCAAACTATGGCCGTGGGTTTACTGCCTGTTTTTGTAAATAAAATCTTATTGGACCACAGCCATCCTCAGTCATTTATCTGTTGTCTGTTGCTGCTTTCATGCTATATGGCAGAGTTGAGTATTTGTGACAGAGACCATGTGGCCTGTAAAACTGAAAATATTTACTATATGGCCCTTAACAGAAAAAGATGGATAACCTCTGATCTATAAAAATAGCTCTCTTTAAGAAGAAAGCTGTAGAGTAGTATTTCCTTTTGTCATTTATACATAGGAGAGGTTCTACTTAGTGCATTTGATGGACCTCAGGCCATTCAAGAAAACTGAGAAAGAATGTAAGTTAAATTCAGCACTTTCTTACTAAATACTTTTGCAAACATCTTCCCAACCAGTGTACCTAAGCTAGATTCAGATTGCAAAAGTTATTGTTGGCCACACCTCTGGAATAAATGTACATTTTCCTTCTATTTCAAACCTCATAGAGTGGCCGCTCCTAATAGTTACATTCATCATTTGTAGTCTGAAGTTATTTTTTTCCCGTTATGAATTTCTTCACAGAACAGGGATATAGGACCAAAATTGGGGAGGAATTTAAAAAAATTTACCAATATTTCCATGGAAATTTAGGCTTTTGATTATGTAAAATTAGAATTGATATAAAATTGATCCTTATGTGCTCATTTCAAATGAGAAAGTGCAGACTTAATTAAGCTGCTGTGTTTATTTTGTGTTGGAGGAATCTCATTCTGTGAATCTCTCCTTCACTGTTGCTGTTTCACAGTTCTGAGCCTGTTTGTATTGCTGCTTTTCAATTCTCTGCTACTCTATTTCCCATCTATTCACTATTATTGAGCTGTTTTTTTCCTGGCTTCCTGCCCTCGAAATAAATAACAATATTGTAGTGTCATTTCCATGAATAGTTTCACTGAAAGGTGTATAATTGTCAAGCACAAATGAAATTGTCATGATCTGCTATTTAATATAGAACTGGCAGCCAGTCTGTTCTATCAGAGCCTTGAAGAACTTACCATATTTTAAATTTCGGTGGTAAATATCACCAGTGAAGCACTCTTTAGGAAGTGTTTCTACAGATTCTAAACTAAAGGATTAGTAGTCACCTAAGTGGTAGGGGGTTGGGTTGACAGCAGCTGTGCCCTACCTAGTTTTTATAACTGAGCACATTTGCTACATGCTGTTTATCCCAGCTCTTTGAATAACCTGTGCGAGAAGAGTCCAGAGTTTTTTTTTATTTCTAGGTTGTTGAACTCAAGCAGCCTTGAGAAATCTTTTCAGTCCACTTTGTAGGTATTTTAACAAACTTCTTAAGAATTTTAATTAATTTTAAAAGTTTTCATTGAACAATTTCTTTCTTATTTTACCCATTTATATATTTCTTGCCTTGTCATGTTGTACTTTTTCAGGTTTATAGGCCTGGTGATGATGTCAGGTTTCACAGCTCAATAGCATTTGGTATAAAAGCAAATTGAGAACATAAGAGCACTGTGTAATGGGAAGTTGGTTATACTTTTTTTTCCTTTTAGAAATGCAATAGGAAATGTTAGTTCCTAAATCCTATTGAGTTAAGTGCTTTGGTTGAACAAGTGTCATTTTATAAATGTGGCATGATAAAATTTTGATTTTGTATTTAAATATTACTATTAGTTTTCTCATGAAAAGAAAATAACTGGGACTTTCAGTTTAGAATACTACGTATAATTACCAGGGAGAAAAATCTCTTGCCCACTCTTAGAAATAAATTCTTGAAATTCAGAGAGATGGAGTTATCTGAATAATACTGTGATGAAAATCCTTAGTTATATGGAGAAAGATAAGTAAAAATTCACAGATCTGTCATTCTAAAATTGAAGTGTATTTGCTAATTATCACACGGGTGAATGGAAGTCCCTGTTCTGAACTAATCTGATGGCAGAACCAGGCCCTAATTGATGTGCAGCTATTTATAGTCTTCACTTATTTTTAGTGTGAATAGTCATACATTCCACTGTTCCTGAGTGCTTCCCTAGACCCTGCTGAGGGTATTATGTAGCATATGGTTTATGTACAGCATTAGCTTTCAGAAATCTGAAAACTTCTGAATTCCATGATACATCTTTCAGTTAAGGGATTGTGGACTTGTATCTACCTCACAAGGTTAATGTAAAGATTAAAAGAGATTGAATTAAAGCACATGGTAAACACTGTCCTGTTAGTTGTTACTATCTTTTTAAAAAATAATTATCGTCATTCCATACCGATTAGGAAGTTTATAAAAAGTGTTTCAAGTGCAGGAGGAAATATTTGCAATTTATGGGAAGAATTTCTTAATTATAGAGAAAAAGGATTTGTCTACATTATAGCATGCTGTTCAGTAAAACTTTCTACAGTTGATGGAAATTTCTGTTTCTGTTCTGTCTAGTATGATAGCTGACATGTACCTATTGAGTGAATTAAGTAAGCTAGGCAACTGAGCAACTGCATTTTCAATTTCATTTTATTTTAATTAAATTTAAATAGCCACATGTAGCAAGTGGCTACCATATTGGACAGCACAGAAGAAATGTAGAAAATATAAGTTATAGAGAGAAAACTTTTTCTGGGTTGCATATATTTTTATTGAAACTGGGAAAATGTTATATCCTGTTGATTTTATATTTTCTCTTAATAGTCATTGGCTTTTTTGTTCTTCCTTTTTTTTTTAAGTTGTCATGATTCCACAAATCTTTAAAGATTTGGAGATGATAATTTTTGGCTACTTTGGCAGGTCAGATTTGATTGGGAGGTTTATTATTACATTTACGTTCCATGTTTTAGAAAGTATGACTAATAATGTGTTCAGTTTCTTAAAAATGTTTTTTTGGGAATATATGTAACATATGTACATAGTATTTCTGAAAATTTTGTGACTGTAGCTCTGAATTTATTGTATGACACTTGATTCTCATGCCAGCAAGTGTAATTGAATATATAATAACATTGTGAGTTTTGGGTCTCGTTTTTATGTAGCTATATTTGTAAAATTTCTGATAGCTATAAAATTAGCAATATGTTATATAGTATTTTGTCTATTCATTATTTTTGTTATGCTGAACTTTGAAAACTTGTTTTAAATGTATCAGGTTCAAAATTAATCTTTAAAAAAGGTACTGGATAAAAAGGGATTCTTAAGTACTAAAAATATATCAGAGTGGTTAGAAACTTTAGATAGGAAATTAAAATTTGATATTTATGATTATGTGTTGATTTGCCTCCCTATTGTAAATTTTGTTGATATAGGATGTAAACAGCTCCCCAAATTAAAAGGGTATAATTTTAGTAAAGAATAGTAGATTCCTAATATA